ATTTCCAAAAAACACAAGTGAAGAAGAAACCGAAACAACAGATGCTTCCACATGTAATCTAACACGATCATTAGACATAAAACAGCATCAAAACTGTGTAAAGTTGATGTAATGTCAACCAATCAAGAGGTAATAATGACTGTCAAGCTTTGGGGTGTTGATCGACTCGATCTACGTTTTGATTATCATTCTGAATCCAATTCATATTCTTTTTTTCAGCTTTTTGTTCAAAATGTTGTTTATTTCTTTTTATGAAACTTATGAAACTTATCCACATTTAAGTGTTTAAAAAAATAATGCATGAAGCTAGAATAAAATGTCAAGCAGATATAAAGAACATGTGAAAATGCCAGTAAGACCCCGACTGCTTTCCGAGCCTTTAACCTTGTCTTGTTCCGTTCCTCATTAGACACAAGCACATCTGTTCACTCCCACAGCCTCTTTCCATCAGCAAGAAATATGGCTATTAAGCTGCATCTGTAAAACACACCTCAGTTTTTAGCAACCCAAAGCAAAGTAAAGCAACTTTAGGACCACTTTTCCCTTTTTTAGGACGGGTGGCTTATTAAAACAATAAAATAGTAAAACCAGAATTTTCAAGTAACATTTCTATTGCAATACTGTAATATATCGTTGAATGGACGGGGATTTAGTTTTGCAATTGACAAATTATCAAGCATTTGTATAGCATTTGTTGCATGTCACTTGGTGCAGAAAATAATTAACATAACTAAAAAAATAAAATAAAATAAAATAAAATACATAGTTGATAGGAATGCACCGAAATGAAAATTCTGGGCCGAAACCAAAACCGAAAATGCTTTGTAATAAATATTTATTATTTTAATTAAATATTATAAAGTAATTTTGTAAGAGTTTTTAATTGAACTAAATTTTAATGATAATGAATTAAAAAAACACAACCCGATAAAATAGAAAGTTTTATTGAATGTAGCAATACAATTTGACAGAAAATATATTAATATTAAATATCAATATATAATTTGTATTCAGTTCAATGCAACTGAATCAGATATAACTTTCATTTATTTATTTATTACTAATTATCCAAATAATGTATAGTCCTACTAAGCTATTATTTTTTTTTTTTTACTAATTTACACATTTAAGAATTTAAAAAAGTGAAGCAGATGTCCTCCAAATTCTTTCTTTGAAGAGACCAGAGCCTTACAAATACAGTGTTGTCTCTTTGTAAATCATTGTTAGGGATGCAACGAAACCAGAAATTATTGATGCACTTTGCTAAAAACCGAAAATGCTTTGTAATAAATATGTATTATTTTAATTAAATATTATAGAGTAATTTTTTAAGAGTTTTTAATTGAACTCAATTTTAATGATACTGAATAATAAAAAAAAAGAACCCAATAAAATAGCAAGTTTTATTGAAAGTAACAATACAATTGGACAGAAAATTTGACCTACAAAGCTATTATCATCAGAGAATGTGAGCAGATCATAGCAGGGAGCAGATCAGTGAACGAGAGCAGCATCATTTTACCAGCGTTGCCATGTTAATCATGTCAGCACAGCAGCGCTAAAGCAAACAGGAACAAGTATACTACATAGACATTTCCAGTCGGCTGGTTATTTGAGCGGACTTTGTTTTTTCGTTGAGCTGTACACGAGCAGAACGCACATTCATAGAGCGCCGGTGTTACGAGATTTTCGGTTTCCGAGATTTTTGGTTTCATTTGTAAAAATGTTTAACTATTTTACATTGGAAACATGAAAAAAAGAAAGAAATTTCAGCAACATGTTTTTGCAGCAGTGTATGATTGTATCATAGTTTACAACCAGACAGCAGACCATTCACAACCAGACAACATGGAGAATGTTGAACGGAGTAAGTTAAGACATGGATCCTCACACCAGTATACAAAAAAAATGTCCACAGATACGTTTATTTCATTTGTTGCAGGCAGTGATGTATTCAACAAATGATAACCACTAATAACAGACACAGTTTTAAAGCATCGCAAGCTACAAATGAAGAGCACAAAGAACTGAAATCAATGTATAGGCTACAACTAGCTGAAGTTTGCTGTGCTTTATCCTATAAGAGTTTTTAATTGAACTCAATTTTAATGATACTGAATAATAAAAAAAAAGAACCCAATAAAATAGCAAGTTTTATTGAAAGTAACAATACAATTGGACAGAAAATTTGACCTACAAAGCTATTATCATCAGAGAATGTGAGCAGATCATAGCAGGGAGCAGATCAGTGAACGAGAGCAGCATCATTTTACCAGCGTTGCCATGTTAATCATGTCAGCACAGCAGCGCTAAAGCAAACAGGAACAAGTATACTACAACATTCATAGAGCGCCGGCCCTGATGTTTATGTAGTATAATTTCACTAAACTAGTCAAAACAGTCTGTTTTTGCTTCAAATTGGGCTATTATTAAATTATACAATCTAATTATGTACATTAAATTATATACATATATATATATATATATAAAACAAGTTTTTGCAAGAGTACTTTAATTAAAAGGTAAACTAAAATGAAACTGTATTTACAGATTTAGGTTAAATTAACATGTCGGTCTTTATTTTTCTTCTTTTTAGGGCAGCAGCAACTTTGGCAGCAAATCAACCATCCACATTAAAAGCTGCAAAAAGCCTACAATTCAGCAGATATTTTAGGAAACAAACCAAAGAAAAAATGAACAAATACTACTGATCAAAATATGTTTTTAAAGACATTTTAAAATAAAACATTTCTTAATTTTAACCACGTAAAGTAACTATAACTAATTTGAAATATAAACCTCAAAAGAGAAATAATGTTATAAAAAAATA